CCGCCGAGAGGCTCGCCGCGGACGCCGCGCCGAGCGCGCGCGTCGCGGCGGCCGCCTGGGCGGCCGTCGTCAGGGCCGCCGTCGGCTGGGCGCCGACGGAGCCGTAGGTCGCCTCGAATTTGGAGAGCCCCTCGAGCGCCGACGCCAGGTCGCCCCAGACAGCTGCCAGGTCGCTGGCGGCCTTGGCCCACGCGTCGGCCTTGGTGACGGCCGCCCTGAGGCTCTCCCCCAGATCTTCCACCAGGGCCCCCTGGTCGCGCAGCCGCGTCTCCTGGGTGGGGTGATGTGTATGTGTGTGTGTGTGTGTGTGTGTGCACGTGCGTGTGTGTGTGTGTTGAGCATGCGTGAGTGTGCATGTGTGTGCTCGCGCACGCTTGCGTGCGGCGCACTCACGTACGCACATGTGCGCGTGCAACTGTGCCTGAGCAACACACTCGCGCGCGCACAGCAGCATAAGCAAACGCAAGGCCCAACTGCCAGTCTCCCGGGCCGCTTCAGGCAAGGGGTTGATGCGCCTCAACCCTCACCTCCGGCCGCACCTCTGCGCGCCCCATCACGCCCCGCATCGCGGCCACCCTCTCATGCATCAGCCGGTACAGGTCGCGCGACGCGCCGGGCGGCGCAGCCGCCTCCGCGGGCGTGGGCGCGGCGCGCTGCAGGCCGGCGACGGTCTTCACGAGACGCACGGTCGCCTGCGGGGCGCAGGCGCAGCGCGCAGGCGCAGGTGCAAAGTGCAGGCGCAGCGTGCAGGCGCAGGCGCAAAGTGAGGGAAGGCGGCACCCGTATGCAGGGAGAATAGGTAATCGAAGCCCGGGCGATGATGTAATGCGCACGTGAGCTGGGCACCCCAGGCGGGGGGGGGGGGAGAGGGGCGGCATCAAGGAGCAATGGTGGCCGTGCCGCGCGTGCGCGCCGGGCGGGCGCACCGACCTGGACGGGTGTCGGGGTCTTGGGCCTCAGCGCCAGCCACGCGGGCGCGGACCCGAGCGTCCCATCAGATTCCAGCCACACCCGCAGCGCCTGACGCCGCGGTCGCAGAAAGGGGGGGGGCGCGGCCGCGCGTCGCGCCGCGCGCACACTCAGGCGGGGCGCAACTTCCGGGGGCTCGCCGCAGCACCGCGGGCAGCGGCGGGCGCGTCGAATCGGGGACGAAGCCGGCCACGCCCGGCCGAGCCGCGCGGGCGCGCGCGTGTGTGAGCGTTGGGGTGGTTGCGGCGTCGGCGGGCGGGCGCGTCGGAGTCGCACCTCGCTGCGCGCCACGGCCGCGTGCGCCGCGAGGCGGTTGAGGTAGCGCTCCATGGCGGCCCGCCTTGGCGCAAGGTGTGCAGGGATGGGTGGGTGGGTGGATGGA